CTTCTCCGAAATCCCCGCGTTCTTGGATTAAAATCTAGCTGGGTGTTATTCAGTCTTGATCTGTTTTGTTATTATTATTGTTATTATTATTATTATTATTATCCCATTTCAGTTTTGCAAATATGAAGTGTATAGTGCTGTAGTACTTCTAAAGCGATAACCAAGAGAACTTTGCTAGACCAATTAAAACACCATTTTTCTCAACGCTTTTTTTTTGAACACGAGTTACGATTTCAAAACGAGAACCAATAGTACGACCTCGACGTTTCGTCGCGTGGGCGGAGATCGTGTTCGAGAGGCACATCTCCCGGTGCACGAAGAAGTGGTCTCGCCAAATACGGACGTCCTCTGCGTAGCGCCACTCACGACGCCGCCGCCGAAGGACCGTTCCTGTGATTGTCGGTACGACCTTAACGATTGTTATTTACGCAACAATTACTGCCGCACTATTAATAATTGTTTTTTTTTCTTCCTTTTTTAATTTACGACGAACCTCTTCCGCGTTGGGCTACCCCGGGTACCGGCGGGTACCATTAATCAACAACTCGTCGGGAACATTTGTCGTCGTTATTAATTTCTCGACGTTCGACACGGGAACCACCCGAAAAATATTGACAAATTGGAGATCCGCGGGGTACCGACAGGTCTCAGTGGCTACCCCCTCCCTCCGATTTGTATTTGACGACGCAACGCCTCGGGCGTTCCTGCTTGGTATTAGGCGCGGGGCACATTAAAATTTGTCCTCAATTTGTTTAATTTGCAAACCCGCAAGAAAAAAAAAACGAAATCAGTTTGGGTGTGTTCCCGCCTAATCCGACGAAGAAAAACGACCTTTCGTTGTCCTTGTGTCGACGAAACAAACTTGCAGATCGACTTTGTGTTATTGTCGGGCTCTAAATCGCGACAATGCACTTTCCGTGGTACCCCTACGGTTGGTTAATAGTACGGTCGAAGTGGATCAGAGAAAACTTTGAATATGTTTAAAATTTATAATCGACCGTTCAACTCGAATATATCATTTGCATTTAAATTCGAAACTATTGACTCAATTAAAGATAACTTTTACCTCAGCACCCTCTTCTTTAACTTTTTCTATGGTTGGTAGATACTATTATCCGAGAGTTCTCGTTTGTCCCTACGTTAGAAACAACCAATTTTTCCTCGTTGCAATAGATTGGTTTGTCCTATATATTAAGGGAAGGCACTAAATTGACTACAAAAAAGCATCTTTTCTTGACTTGGGGCGATCATTTTGGAGATGTCCTCTATTATTACAGTTTGTCTTTACTGAATGTCGTGCAACATACGTTTTATTTGAATCCAGCAATTTCAATCCTCTCTCGATCTGAAGAACTACTATTTCTTGTAAGGTCTACATTTTTAGCCTGTTCAACAGCAGATAAATTTTGTAGAGGGGGCGTGTTACCGTGACTATTATACCGATTAACATTTGTGTCGCCATTTTTCATATTCGGACTATTCTGAAACTGCAATGCTACTGCGTCGATTTTTTGAAAACTACTTAGCTAACAGATATCAGAGAGTTACCCTTGACAACGCAAGTCCCGAATTTGTCCCTGTTTGATCAGGTGTACCGCAAGGTTGTGTCCTTGGACCTATATTATTCTTAATTTATATTCGTGATATTTATACATCCATCGAATATTTGAATTTGCATTCGTTTGCTGGTGACACTCAGCTATTTTACTCCTCTACAACTCAATCTACAACTCAATGCTAAAAAATGCAGTGTAATGTTCTTTAGATTAGATTCGTGGAATATGTAACGTTGTTGGTGAAAAAGTCTTATTTGGTTTTCCTCCATTTATACAGGCATAGAAATGTCCTTAATTTCAGTGTACGGGAACTTCTAGCTCAATCACTTGTCCTTTCCATTATGAACTATGGTTTAGTAGTCTTGATAGTATATGTGTATATAACAATATACAACAATAAAGGCAATTTATTATTATTATTATTATTAATAATTATATGCCACTTTCAGGAAACGACTCTCGTGTTGGTTTTGACGTATATTTAAAGCCGTTCATCTTATTGGGTTTCAAAGTGAATTCTACTACATTGCGCTGATGCACAGACAAGACATATGATTCGCATTATGTCCGCACTACTAGGAAGAGGGGATTTTGGATCGATTTTCGAGTTCCATGATACGATGTGCTAAGATGGTGCTACTTTTTCTATAGATATTATCAGCGTCCCTTTGATTGATTGATTGATTCCAGACGTTTAGTTTACTCCTCTTCTAAACACCTGTTAAAATGTACATATACCAGGTGCTCAGATATTGATCCCTTTCCAGCACTCTTCTCAGTTTATCGGCCATCCAATTGCTCTCGATACCGATATGAGCAGGTATCCGGTGTTGCATTGGCAGGTTTGATGGTGGCTGGTGGCTCGAGGATAATGAAAGAACAGCGTACATGACCGAGGACGTGAGTTTTTCGTGAAAAGCGACGGTCTAAGGTGTCCGAGACGCCGCGCATACATTACCATCGATAATTAGAACCGAGATCTCGTGACACCTAATTTGTCTGGTGTCGTTCACGAACCACACTGATAAACTAATTAAAATTCTAAATTGATTCTCCGGGCTGCTCCGAGCGCTGACAATTTCGTAATTGATCGAACGCTTCGCCGCTAGTCGTTCGGTGTTTTTTTTCCTCTTCGCCCCCCCTTCCCCCCTCGCGCCACGTCGCTTTCGTGTTCTTTCGAAAGGACTCGTAGAAAAAACCTTGTTCGTGGCGTATTAATCGGCGTCCACGGCCACGGACCACAGATAAAGCGTAAAAAGGAACACGCTGACCAATTTAAAAATAAAACCGATATACCGAATTGAGATCCTTGTGTTAGATCGACGCGATATTAGGAGTCCGCACGCGCAACCGGAGACGCGGCCCCGGAGGCGATCCTCGAGGCACGCCGACAATCACTGTCATAGTTTACAACCACATTAAACCCCGTTCGGTGAAAAAACTGATTAATTTTTGAAGTTTTAAAGTCTCTAAAGATAAGCAATTACGAAGATTCTGTATATTCTAAGGTTTGGTCTGAGCTTGAGTCAAAATATCTATTTGGAAACTTGTCGCCTTTCTAGCAGCAATTTTTTTTTGCTGTGACTTAAGAGTTTTTTAACTTCGACTGAAGGTGGACCTTAAAAAGTTAATGGAAGTATATATATCTGGAAACCTTGCTGTGTGTACGATATTTTCGACTTCGATGAAAGGTGAGGCTAAAAAAGTTCCAGTGGAAACCTATTCTATTAGATCGGCCGTCGCCAGCATAAAAGAAGCAAATATCGGCCCCGGAGGCGATCCTCGAGGCACACCGACAAATTATTTACATAACAACGGACGGGATACACGTATATATAAATTCAAAACAAAAACGTACGTGATAAATTTTCATGACTTAACCGCGGGTGGCTCGCCCGACTACCCGAAAGGGGTGGTTCCGTGCGGTCGAGGTGTTAGTGTGCTAACCTCCGGGGGGCTGAATAATGCATAACGACGGGGAATGTAGAGCCCGCCCTTCACGGCGCCCAAGGAAATCGGGTTAGGTTCGAAAAAAATCGAAAAGCCGGTACTACCGTACGTTCGAGTTGGCGCCCTCTGTCCTTTGCGCATTCGTTTTACACGCGTCGACGAAGCCGTTTCTGACAACGCCGATAAGTACCGCGTTAACGCAATAGTACCGCGATTGAAAACGGGGGGGTAATTTAAGTGGTACCGCGTTAACGACGCGGTGGTCCCCGGCGTATTTACGATTGTTTTCGATCGATACGGACTTAATGCGTCCGATAAAGTTACCTTTACGTCGTTCGTATTTGTTCGATAACCCCGCCCCCCTCCGGGCGATTTGTTACTACGCGGTACTCCGACCGGTACCGTCGTCGTTTGTTCGTTGGTTGGTCGGGCGATAAGTTCGCGGGGAGCGAAGTTATTCCGTAGCCAATAGGTACCAGGAAAAAATGAAGGCTCTCGCATTCTACATTTTATGAACACAGCAAAGGTTGTTTACGTTTACTAAGGAGGAATCAAGTTTCTAGCTTTCTAAAACTGAAGTTAGGTGTTCGACCTTGTAGAAGTCGAACGTTAAGAGGTTAAGTGGAGTAGCTTTTGCTGGACTTCGCCTCTTCTCCACTGTATATTTGTATATAACAATATACAACAATAAAGGCAATTTATTATTATTATTATTATAAAAGCTCGAGTCAATGAAATAACATCAACACCAAGCGATAGCCTACGGCTGTTCTACGACCTGCGATTCGGAGGCTTAGGCTTCAGACACAAAAAACTGACAGTATTTCTGCAACTGCATGGATGTCGTACCGCCAAAAGCGCCATCCTGACGGATCGTGGTGGATGTTGTCTAAATCATTGCCATTCTACTGATGACAGTCGAACAACTCGCATCTGGCTACGCGCGCTACGGCGTTAAAATTCCCACCGATTGGGACGAGATTAGCGAAAGTGGATCTATATATTAGCCGGCGATTTATCGTCGGTGCCGGCTTTAAACGCCTATTTACGCGAGCCAAAGTAATAAAACTCATTTTATCTGATACAGTTGTTATTGTTGTGAGCGAGGCAGGGCGGGGTAGAAGGGGGGGCGCCACGCGGGCGCCTCGCGTTATTACGAAAAAAAAAAACCGCCGCGTTTTTAATTTATGAACTGCCAAAACCGAAGAAGGCCGAAATTAATATTTCTATTCAGTCGCGACGACGAATTTAAAATCCGCGCGTGGGCGGTCCCGGACGGCAGAAAAGCGAACCCGGACGAAAAAAGAAGGTGCGGAGAATGGATCGGGAATCAAATTACAATTTAAATAATACAAAGAGAAAAAACAAGCGGACAACGACGCGCGTTAAGTAATATTTGTTTATCGCCGTGTCCGCGTGCTCTTCGGGACACACACAATTTGGTCCTTCGAGGCGGACGAATTCTAACGCGCGATCTTTTTTTGTTTGTTTCAGGACGTCTGCAAGCGCAATGTCGATGAAAAAGAATGGTGAGTGAGTGTGGTGATGGGATTTTTTTGTAAAACATTTTTTTGAAACATTGTAGACTGTCCTTTTCTCATTCGGAGTTAAACAATCTGGAAACGTGGCTAGGAAATGGTGTCATATTTGACTAATTGCATCTTCCTGATAGAACTCCGATTTTGAAGAGTGCTTAATTTTTTCGCTAATAAAATATATGTTCCATCAATGATGCCTCAGACTTTTTCCAATGAAAATGAAAATTTCTTCTATCTACTGATGACTTAAAACTGTTTAATTGTTTAGACTGCCAACAACTTCAGCATTACTAATAGGAACTGTGGTGCACCACTAATGGTATGGAGATTAACACATCCAAGTGCATAGTCATCATGTTTATGTTCTCACTTCAATTTCAAGAGATAATAAGAGATTTTGAAGTTCATTTAAAGTGTGAGATATCCTTTTCGCACCACATTAGTAATATGATAAACAAATCTCTTATGATGCTGGGTTTTCTCAAAAGAAATATCAGAGACAGTAAAATCCCTTGTTAGAAGCCACCTCGTTTCTCCACTTTATTTATTAATTTTAATTAAGTAAGTTTAAGTAGGATTTAATCGTGAACTGGACATTCCGCTCCTTTCAACCACGCCATGACCATTTCTTTCCACTATTCTGATTAATCTCACAGATCGGTTTACATTCTCCTGTTAGATCCACAAGCAGCGCCCAGATGTTTTACGTTCCTTGTAACCGTGTAAAACGATCCACTATAGGATGTGGGGACATAAAAAACTTTCGTACAAAAGTTTCTTGGACTCTCCTGAATATTTAAAATATTATAATTTCGTTGATACAGGGTGTCCCAAAAGTGTACCCCCCCGTCATCATCTTTGTTATTTTAAATGAAACACCTTGTACATTTCGAATTTTTTGAATCCTTGGTTACAATAAAGGGCACTTTCTTAAGAAATTCCTATTCGAATTTTGCTTAGTTTAGGCAAAAATTGGGGTTATGTGTTTTTTTTTATGCATCCATCCAGGCATTGCAACGAAAATTTGACCACAGACTAACGAGATGATGCACACGTGCATCAAAAGTCAAAAAAGTATTACTTGCTACAAAAGAACCGATCAAGTACAGCTCTCAAGGAGCTCGCTTTTATACTTGACAACAGATTCACGAAACAACAATACTTGACTATCCGATTGGGTGAACAGGCCCAAAATTGAGACATGTGTCCAGCCTTTAATCATATTTTGGTAATATGTTCTTAACAACACCACACATAGAATTTTACTTACAAGAAGAGGTTTTTCTCAGCGTTTCTAGAAGCCAGATATTCAGCTACGTTAGTTGACAGATACGGTTTTGATGGAAGCTCAGGACAGGTTCAATACAAACAAAAAATATCTTCTGAAGATACACGAGAATTTTCGCTACAACCTAAGCCAACTAGCTTAGATGGCATTATCCTATGGAATAATGAAATGCCACAATCTCTGAGGGTTTGCTGGTCGTTAAAACTGGAAGAAAGAAAGTCTAGATAATGAAATTAAAGATCTTCAAGAATACCAAACCTGGATCAACAATTTTTTTGTTATAGTACATTTTTATTTACACTTGACTTTGATTGATTGATTGAAAATCTTATGTATTCTCACCAACACTCGTTTAAGTCAGGCATGCGCAATTTGTGATGCAACACCTGCAAAATTTTTCACTTCTAATAATTTTGAAGACTATGACTCTACAACAAAATAAAATGCACTTCATTATGGTGCATTGCTGGATAAGACTTGGACAGAATTAAATTAAAAATTTATCCCTATGGATACAGTCTTGATGAAGATAAATTAGAAGATTTAGATGTTTGACAGATGCGCATCAGCTTATACAGGGTGTCCCAAATAGGTGCTGCGTTTTGGCGAATTCAATTATCAAAATCTCAAGATTTTCAAATGGAACCCTCGTATAAACTCTTGTTAAAATTAAAGCTTAGGCGATATTAGGTATTTTTTAAATAGGAAACGCAATACTACTTCTTTTAAACATATAATACTCCAGGTGTACGAATAAAACCTATTGCTAACAATACAGGGTGTCCATTAATACGTGCAAATTATGAAAAAATTGACACCTTAACAGATTTAATAAAACTCAAAAAAAAAAGAAAAAGGTTGTGATGTCATAGCCAACTACATTTTAAAATATTTTGATATTGCTTTGTTGTTTTGATGCCAGATGAAACGAGCATTTTAAGAGGGACATTTTTAACTAAAATTTATGGACCGAATTAACGAACTCTTTCTAGTTAACTTCTTTTTTTATAGATTTATTTTTATTTAAATTTGTTACCTTGGTTAGTTATTTATGTTATTTTTGTTATTAGGTATTTTCAATCAAGCTAGATAATTAAATAATAAAATCTTGAGATTTTGTTAATTGAATTCGCCAAAACCGCACCACCTCTTGTTAAACTGATTAAGTAGTGCATCATCTCCTCCTTAGTCTGTGTTTAAATTTTCGTTGCAATACCTAGATCAGTAGCGTCACAACGCAATTTTATATGGGACAATCAAACCTCAATTTCTGCCTAAATTATGCAAAATTCGATTGGGAATATCTTGAGAAAGTGACCTGAGAGTGATACCCCCTACCAGAGCCCATCTTTTGTAAGAAACTTTTTTTCGTATCTCCTATGGGTTTCCAGATCGTATAGTGCTAATCAGTTAAGTGTTTTGCACCAAAACCTCTGGTTCATCATCCACTTACATATTTTCCATTTGTTTGGTTATGCACTCGGGTTAGTATTAGTAATCTGACCTTGTCGATTTTTCTGGTACATTATTTGGTTCAGCATAAGTATCTTTTAGTTTCCTATTTGTATTTACTTTAGTGTGTATACTGTCAATAAATAAATATTTAATTTTTCGACGTCCACGGGTGGGGTACATCGCGGTACTGAGCATATGGTACCGCGATATCGCTCACAACTATCTCGCGATGGTCGAACAATTAACCGTCCGGGACCCGATCGGGAGGTTATCGATTACGCTTAATCGCCGGCTTATATAAATATTCATGGCGGATAATGTCGGCAAAAAAGTAAATATGGTACCTTTAAATTTATGGGCGCGCGGTGGGGTATTAATCAAAGTCGCGGAGTGGACGCGACGTCTTTTTTTCCTTTGGGTAAATTTATTTACCGCCGCGCTGATATTTTCCCATCAAATCGTGGGTGGTACCGATTTCGTACCTGCCATCGGGCCATACATCTGTCGATAGTACTCGGACCTGGTGTAATGTCGTTGGTTACTACAGCACAATGACATATGTAATAACCTATTACATGTTTTTTTCTAGGCGCTAGTACCGAAATTGACACTTAGTTTCGAAAATTTCTGATTCAATTCTGGAAAGCGAACTTATGGCTGGAAGCACAATGAAAACAAAACTACGAAAGTTTCGATAAAAAATGCATCGGCGGCTGTGCGGTAATATCACAAAGTTGGGTTTGACTTTGAAAGTCAAGTTTTTGCTTGGTTTATTACAAGCTTCATTCCTTAGTGATAACCCGGATTTTTTTTGCAATAGAGACTACAAACTCAGGTAAGGTTATGAAAATTTTTAGAAGAGACTGTAAAATATTCGCTTGTTACTTTCGAAAATCGATGCAATGAGTATCTACGCTCGTATAAAAATTTTATATCTCGGTAATGGTAAATCCTATGGGATCGTGGTTGGTATAGAAATGATTACCGTCGAAAAAATATTTTTTTTTTGTTTGTCTGTTCTCCGTTCTCGTCTTTTGGTTTTTCCTGAATTACTTTCGAACCGGTGGAGCTACAAAATTAAAATTTGCCTTCTTTTTAACCCTTATGAGAAAGCTTATGAGAAATGGCCCTGATCCGACGCCGGCATCCATCTTTTTTTTGCGATTTTCGACTGTTTTTTGGACATTGCTATGAAACACGATAAGTGTCCGAAATTTGAAGCAATCGACTTCATATTTGGCACATATATGCAGTTTTGTTCTGTGACGGAACGTATTGAATTGGGGGGTTGGGGGTCGGGAAGTATTTTAAAAAAATAAAAAATCGCGTGTGCGAGGGGGGTCTACAAAAAACATCATTTTTTAAAAACTTTTTACAAGACTAAAAACATTCTTGAACCAGAAGACGCACAAGGTATGGCTCCATAAACTTTTGTTCTTGACAATTTTTAAATATACAGTGTGCGCAGCAAATTCAAAAAAACTGAAAAATGGGTCCCCCTGTTATTGAAAATTGGTTATAACTGAAAGACTATGATTCAGATCTCACTTTCTTTTATATTGCGAGATGGCTCGATGGCGAGATGTTTCAATTAGTAATAGATATAAATATGACGCAGTGCATTTTTCTTTGCAAGTGCAAACATCAGAGAAAAACATTTTTTTTGGGTCGCTACAGGTTGAAGAATCAGGAACTCTATAATGTTTGGTGTTTCGAAGAAAAAACATTGGCAAAGCCATCCACTGCTGCCAAATATGTTTAAAATAGCAAGTATGTTTGTGAAAAAACTCGTTTATTTTGGGTTAATCTGGCCGCCAAATGGAAGAAATACAAAAGCTGGCTTCAACGGTTACTGATTTTGGAAAAGTGGGCCGAACCTAGAACGGAATTGGCAGTACCGCGTGAACAAGCGTCAGTGGGGCGTCCTAAGTTACCTTTTTCGGAAAAAAGTGTTCTATCACAGAGAAGAGATGCACTACAGTTACCTCGGGAAATAAATCGCGATACTCAGTAGTTGCTGTAAAAGTGAGCGAAGACAAAGATTTGTCGTGTGTTTTGAAAGAGACCAAACGAAGTATTCTTTGCTACAGGAGAACCGATCAAGTACAGCTCTCAAGAAGCTCTTGCTTTTATACTTGACAACAGATTCACGAGACAACAATACTTGACTATCCGATTGGGTGAATAGGCCCGAAATTGTGACATATATCCAGCCTTTAATCATATTTTGGCCAAAGTCCCCCTGGAAGAAAAATATCTTCTAGAGATATACAAGATGCGAGAATTTTCGCTACAACCTAAGCTAACTAGCTTAGATGGCATTATCCTATGCGATAATGAAATGCCACAATCTCTGAGGTTTTGCTGGTCGTTGAAACTGGAAGAAAGAAAGTCTAGATAATGAAATTAAAGATCTTCAAGAATACCAAACCTGGATCAACAATTTTCTTGTTATAGTACATTTTGATTTACACTTGACTTTGATTGATTGATTGAAAATCTTATGTATTCTCACCAACACTCGTTTAAGTCAGGCATGCGCAATTTGTGATGCAACACCTGCAAAATTTTTCACTACTAATAATTTTGAAGACTATGACTCTACAACAAAATAAAATGCACTTCATTATGGTGTAATCCCCCTGCATTGCTGGATAAGACTTGGACAGAATTAAATTAAAAATATGGCAAGTAACAAAGCTGATCCAAAATCTATTTTGGTCTCGTTTAGGTTTAGAGGTTTATTCAGAGGAGCACGTGTACCATTCTACCATTCTGGGATACATATGTTGATGCGCCTGTAAAAAGTATCCTTGGAGTAACAGTAACAAGCGAAACACGTTCCTGCAGTCAATTCACAATAAAAAATGTAAATAATTTTGGCCAAAATAAGTGTGCTGTAGACTACTGTGCGTTGTAATAATTTTACTGCTTGCTAGTCATTGATAGTCCTATGGCTTGTGCCTGTAATTTCCTATAAAATGATGCTAGCGTACTTTATATATTATTGATAAAGGGGCCTGTTTGATGCGTTTTCTTTGTAGTGATGGCAATCTTGGTTCTTCACTTGTTGTTAGGATGGTGCTAGTATTAGTACACGATACCGAGTACTTTCTTTTAACTGACATTAACGACTACTACTACTACAGAACCGTTAAATGCGTTTCCTATGTGGTGGTACCCGTATCACTATTATCAGTAATAATACCGGTACCATATGTTTCCAATGGTACCAACGTAACGGGCGCGCTGTTTACTGTGGTTTCATCGGGAATCTCACGTCGGACCCATAAATCGACACCATTGGGCGCGATCCGAGGGTACGATCGCATGGTAGCCAATTATCAAGCGAATCGATCACCCGCCGCCAAAGGGTACGACTCGACGCGGGACTCGGTACGCCGGGTACTACCGTGGCAAATTGGTACCGCGCGCCGCGCTAAATTGATGAATCGATACGAGAAGCGACTGCCGATTGTTTCGCGCCATTGTTTTCTGACCTCCCGCGAATTTACGGTTGATTTTCCGGATTTTAATTGACGTTGTTTTTGTTTAATAGCGTTCCTTTATTTCCGTAATTTTCAGGTTCACGCCGTCGATACTGGTCGCAACCGAGCCGGGTTTGAAGACGATCATCGATTTGACCAACACATGGCGCTACTACAATTGGGAGGTAAGTTGGGTCGGTTAAAGGGCACAAAAGTTGTGCATTTAGATGGGTAATTCCCCGAAACTACTAACATTAAATTGCCAGTGGACTGGAAAAGATTTTCACATAACCAAATTCTTGAGTTTACACAAAAAAATATACAAAAGTCTTACAGTTCAAATACGATTTTGGATTGCGTTTTCCCGAAAACGATTAACAATGAGACATGAAGCAGTATTTATAAAATTAGCTTGTAAACCCGGCTTTTGCATGACTTTTTTTTTGTAAAATTGCAAATGTACTAAGAAGGAAATACTAAAAACAAAGAACATCGTTTTTCTAAAATATTTGTTAGTGCACAATTTACTTTTGGTAGCCTCATAGCATTTTGTGTAACAAACTTCGTGCTATCCGACGTCGCAGCTCATCCTCTTATTTTTTTTCTTACTATGACAGCTTCCCAGTTTCCTCTTTTCTTTTCCAGGGTACGTGTTAGTTGTCTTGGTATATAGTTGCGGGCTTGAAGGCTTTACTCTGAACGAGAGCTAAATAAAAAATTGGTCACATAGATTTTTGACTCTCCCTCTATCTTTTTAAAATATTTTTAGAGTTGCTGCTTGTATCCATAAGTAGGGCAAGTAGCAATTGTTCCATTTGTCTCTACGCTGTGACTCTCTGATCGTTTTTGACAGCTATTTTCAGCATTCTAAATATTAGTTCTCTGTAGAGTCTGTTTTCTGGAGTGTATAGGGTGTTTACAAAACAATTGTTTTACCATTCTCGTAATAAAAGCAGATTTCGAACAAATTACATACTTATATTTACGAAAAATTACCAATTGTCACTGAAAAACAAATAATTATAAGAAAAAAGAAGATATTTAAAAAAATGAAGAAAAAATTAAATGAATGAAGATTCTTTAAAGGAGTGTGGACAGATTAAAATGGGAACTTGTTGAAGTCTAACCAGACATATTTTAAGTCACCATGAATATGAATCTGAGAAAATTTGTTCGAATAAAAAGTCTAAAATATTTTTAGAGTTGCTGCTTGTATCGATAAGTAGGGCAAGTATCAATTGTTCCATTTTTCTCTACGCCGTAACTCTTTGATCGTTTTTGACGGTCATTTTCAGCATTCTAAATATTAGTTCTCTGTAGAGTCTGTCTTCTGGAATGTATAGGGTGTTTACAAAACTATTGTTTTACCATAACTTTTGTTTACTATGGGTTGTCATGCTCTTTTGACACTAAGACTAACTATGAATCAACACTTTAAACGAACGCTCTTTTTGCAAAGCAATTGTTTAACTTTTTGAAATCTATGACTAATGCAAAAATTGTGCTTAACTGAATGATACCTTAGATGTATAAAAACCCTGTTATTGTTTTATTTCGTTTCTTTCAAGCAAACAAACTTAAATATTTTAAAAAATTCGATAACAATATTTTCTTTTAATCTATATTAAATAAATAACTTTTTTTGTCCAATTGTTACTTTTGGGAGACCCTGTATTATTATTTTTTATTTATTTAAAAATAAATTTTTCAAAATGTTTCGTTATTAAACCGTTTTCACGATTTAATTAAAGACTGTTTGTAAATATAGAGTTTTTTGTGTATAATAATTATATTGTGTTAAAGTTTCATGTTCGTAATATTTTTTTCTTTTTGTTGTTAATTAATTAAATTAATATTAATTAAAATATATTCGCATTACAAACAAATCGAATTAGTAAAACGCGTAGGGTTTCCCTGACCCCCTGTGCGTCGTTCAGCTCGAAGAAAGCTACGTAGTAGACGAAGATGCCAGCGCAACGTCGATATCAGACCACTTTGAGAATTCGATTATGTAAAAAGAAAACGTTATAAAATCTTCTCTCCTCGATCTGGGTACGATTTCCGAATTGGTCGCCGCCACTTAACATTCCCCGTAATCCTAACATTATCTAAAAACTTCGGCATTTTAAAACAAATTACGTAACGATTTCCTAAGTTGTCGTTGTTCCGTCTCAGAAAAAAAAATGGAGAACTGTAAATATATGTATCGTGTGCGGGCGATAAGGCCGCCTGGGGCCGCTTGCCGTTAGTGTCGAATCAAGTTGTCAAATTAAGATTGTAGCCCGCTTTAGTACGCCCGAAATTGTAGCATTTTCTTCTTCTCCGTCGCATTAAATTAGAAAAAAACGTGTCTTTCGAAATTGGACTTCGACCTTCGTTATACGCCCTTCAATTGGAGCGTAGGACCTAATTGATTGTCAAAGGTTATATATACCAGGTCTATTTCTATATATAGGGTTAAAACGTTCACCTATGTCTTCTGATCTGAAAGATCCAGATCCAGTTCTTCTATTCTGTGGTTCTCTCCTTTTTCCTCTTCGCCTATTCCTGATATATTTATCAATCCCTTCTTTCCCGTTATTTTTTGGTTTTCTAATTTTTCTTTTTCGCTACTTCCTGATGTCTTCATTCTTACCATCTACGCTTTGAATTTCTAATTTTTCTCCATGGTTTGCTACCTGAATCCCTTCTTTCTATTAACTCCTTGCCTTTTTCCCATTCCTTCTATCAGTGGGGCGATAATTCATTCATATTACGTGTTTTGTCAGTTGTTCTTCAATTATTCTATAGCCTATATCATCCAACTTTCAAAATCTCTCTTATTGTATTATTGCGTTTTCATTCTAATTTCTTCAGTCGCCAGTCATTAGCACGAGAGATTAAAAAAAGCTCATTTTCTTTTCTTATGCAATAGTATATTATGCAAGTGCTGTAAACGGCATTTGACTCACGAGTTTATTTGGCACGAGCGGAGCGAGCGAGTGAGATAAAGAGTTTTTCTACTCCCATCAGTAAAATACCTAATTACGCACCGATCTACCGCGCGGAAAGCGTCGCTTTACCACGTCAGTTTCGTTTCCCACGGGTCCGAGCCACGTCGGACATTTCCGGGTTTGGGTTTGGGAGCAATCGGATGTTTTCGGAGATATTTCCCACGCTTTGAATTTTGACGTTTGTCAATTCTATCATGTTAGTTAAAGTTTTGCGAAAATATACTCTCAAACTAACGGTCGTAGAAAAATTATAGTATGCAACGCGTTCGGTAAACTTTTTAAGTCACAGATTTCACAGATTATCGGATTAGTCAATTTCAACCATTCAAACAAAATTTTTAATACTTTGCCATTAAACCTATTCCTTTATCGATCGGTTCTAACTGTTGTCTCTTTTTAACTGTATACGTTAGACAGAGATAGATGTATTAATGGATATATCATATGAACAACCGAATAAACACAATTTCAAAACAACTTTTTTCTGTGTATTAGTTGTTGGGTACATTTTTGCAAAACAACACGAATACATTCACTGATACGGCTGTCAGAATTGACAAACGTCAAAGTTCAAACCGTGCGGTAAAATCTCCGAAAACATCCGATTGCTCCCAAACCCGTGCTGTAAAACCCCGGAAATGTCCGAAGTGGCTCGGATCCGTGAGAAACGAAAGTGACGTGGTAAAATGACGCTTTTCGCACGCTAAATCGGCGTGTAATTAGGCATTTCACAGACGAGAGAAGAAAAAAATATTTTTTGTGGGTGTAAAGTTTGTTTTGATGTATTTAATCGAAACAAACTAAAAATTTTGAAAACAATCTCGCCGGTTTAACGGGAGGGGGAGGGTGGGCGTCTCCGACGACGCAAATTTATTCACGTTCCACTTTTGCGCGGCAAAACAACCCCCGCCGACAAACACAATTATATTTTTCCAGGAGGAATTCGGCACCAGGGGCATCGACCACGTCAAGATTATGGTGGAGGGGCGGACTGTGCCCAAACACTCGCAAGTGCAACAGTAAGTGTTATGCGTTAATTTAATTTTACACGAATTAAGGACGGAAAACACGCGGGCGTTGGGCGGAAGGGTGGTGGATGGGCGAATCCGGCTCGAAGGACCACTGTAGTCTAAAGCAAGCACATCAAATCATCATATCGCAATTTCCTTATTAAACAATTTGGTAAGTTTAGAAAAAAACCTTTTGTTTAATGTTACTCTGATGGTGAAATTTAACAAAATCTTAACATTTTGATCAAAATTTAAACCAACAAGTTTTGTTACGTAAAAAAATCCTCAATTTTTTTCATTAAAAAATGTGCAGGATCAAATCAAAAATATTTGTTACATTAGCTTATGTTCATCACTTTTCCACAATTTTAGCCCATTTTCCAGTTTTCCAGATTTGCGATAAATTGGACCACAATGTCTCCTAGAAGGAGTGTTTCCAGATGAATAAAAAATTGCACCCATCCCAAAAATAATAAAATAGATACTTTTAATGAATCGAGACCCATTAGTATTTTACTTTGCTTGTTAAAACTAATAGAAAAACTTTTTTTAGAAACAAATATCATTTTACCTCCTAACCCATCAGGACATTGATCTGGATATATCATTGGATTCAGGTCATTCGGTTTGGTGCTTGTAGACTATTCGAAAACTTTTGATATGGTATGCCACGAACTACTGTTACCTATTTTAAACTTTGTAGGGTTTTCGGATAATGACAAAATATTAATCAGTTATCTTAGTTAGTTACGGTTTACGCAGGGTTCTATACTGGGGCCTCTTTTATTTAAGCACCGCACTCGCGTATGAAAAATTTTACGGCATATTTTTACACTGATAATACTCAGGTACTGTATTCGTTTGTCTCCAGTACGGCGCAAGAATTAATTAATCAAGATTTCAAAGAACTAATTGAATTCTCAACACGTCACGTTATTGGAAAGAATGGTGATCGTTTGGTGGCAGGGTTTTGCAGTTTACAAATTGTATCAAAAATGTTGGTCCAAGAATTAACACGGATTTCCATTTCCGAGAGCAAGTTGTTTATTATTTACTAAGGGCATCTTTCTCCTTATATAAGTAGCAGATTATTTAGTGTTAAGTTATTTTAACTTAACATACTTAGATAAAATCGACCCACATAGAATTGAGAGGGTAGAAAAAAAATATTTACGGTTTATTTATGGGATAAGAAAATATGATCCAGTCTCGTACAAACTACAGGATGCCAAATGGTTGAATATGCAAAACAGGAGTAGACTGCAACATTTTTAATAACAGTCCACCTTGAATAACATATAGGAAAGATGTTCTTTAGATTTAAGAGTGTTATCTCTCCCTCTCTCTCTCTCTGTACCGTTTTAAATTGCTCGCCCGCCAAAACAACCCCCGTCTCGGCGGCGGCGGCTGTTAAAAACGTCGGCGGTACGTTTCACTTGTTACGTAAGCGTAATACAACCGCCTTCCCCGTGAGGCGGCGGCGGCGGCGGAAGCGCGTGACGGTCGATCTCCCGGAGTCGTCCGTCCGGCGTCTCATATCTTAAAAGGGTAAAACTTGGGCAAGGCGGCGGCGGCGGCGGCGGCGCTAGAAGAGTTGGAAACTCGCCTCCCGCCGCCCGAGCCGCCCCCCGCTTGATTTGCGGTTTTGTTTACCACCAAACTTGCGCTCCCCGGCAGTTACGGGAGGCGGACCGCGCGATACAGGGTGGTTTTTGTTGGGTAGGGGGGTCAGTGGCGGAGTCCCTCCAAAAAAACGCCATAAGGGACAGATTTTATGATTATTCTATGGATTCATCATCATCCGCTAACCTCTTCCATCCACATAGGTCTGTCTCCTCAGCAGAATTGGTTCTCTAACAAGGCTTCTGCATTAAAACCCTTTACAGGGAAACTGAAAGTTTCGTACTTAATTCCTTTCACTTCAATGAACAATTAAAAAAGCATTACATTAGTTACACAAGATATGCTGGTTAGTTTCGACGTAGAATCCCTATTTACAATTACTGAAACTCTATTTGAAAAGAAAGATTTCGACACCTTCCTAAAACCAAAATTATGCAAAAGCTACGTGTTATTTGGCCTTACGGTCAAGAATCCCTAGTAGATTTTCTTAGACTTTTAAACTCTATTCCCCCTAGCGTTTTACTATTGATTTGGAAACTAATAATAACCTATTCTTATCGATGGCAAATCAGACCTAACATTCGGTCATTGTGTTTACAGAAATGTATGCATTGTCACATCACCATCCGGTCCAAGAATCATCGGTTACACCTTAGCTCCGCTCTTCTCTCTAATAATTATCACATTAAAGATATTAAGCGTTCCATCATCAAATACATTTCACCACAACCTTCCGATAGCAATAGCAATAGAAGTTTCCTAAGAAGTATAGGTCTGGTTTGTGCCTTCTGCATCCGGTTTCCCGCTGCTTTTCTCAGATCGTCTTCCCATCTTGTTGGGGGTCTATCCTGATTTCTCTTATTTTCTCTGCGTCTCAATTCTATCAATCTTTTGATCTTCTTGTAATTCTCATCATTGCTGATTTTATTTTTCTTTGATATCCTCTCAACTTATCTACGGACTTTTTAGTCAACGTAAGGGTTTCCGAGTCGTATATGATCACTGGCAAAATGCATTGGTTGCAGCCCTATGCGACGTTGAATCTCGCAAGTTCGATTATCTGTACCTATTCTAATTTCATGACCCGGATAAATATAGCTATAAACCTGGTGTATCCCCTACCCGTCTATTTTCATATTTGCAATTGGAACTAGATTGGTCATGTATTTTGCTTTCTGAAAATTAATGTTAAGACCCTCTTTTTCTATGGTTATAGTTGTGTTACCATTTCGACGGCATCATTTAAAATTTCGGCTGGAATGACAATATGATCGGCACAGCGCAAATGACTCAGGTATTCGCCATCGATATTTAGTCCCTTTTCATCCCAATCCACTTCCTTAAACGTATATTCCAGGACTATCGTAAACAATTTGGGAGAGATGTATCCCCTGCCTCTTTCAATTCTGCATTTCTCCATGAAATCGTAGAGTTTAGCGGATGATGTTGCATTGTTGTATACATGATTCAACAACATCTATATTCTCGTGGCTCTGTTTCAATGCTTTTAATATTTCAGACAGTTCCACTGAAACTGCAATCCACAAATATCAAAGTCAGTGATTTATTGTACTCGATATATATTTTTCAATCAAAGTTTTCAGAGCTTCATTTGTTCCGTACCTTTTTCTAAAGCTTTCTGCATTGATAAAAATCTAATTTTCGTTTTAACCGTTTTGTAATAATTTTTGTTCTTCATTTCTTGTAGGATACTTTTTATCTCTTCTTCGTGTAATTTTATATCCTTGGTTTATTAATTTGAGTTATCCAGTTTGTGTTTCATCTGTTTCCTTTAGTTGTTTTCTATATAATTTTTCATAGTATTTTCTCTCTATTTGTTGTTAAGTTTTCTTCTTTGTCTATTAGTTTAATAATTTATTTTTTGCCGACGTTTAGTTTTTGTCTAACAATTTTCATATTTTCGTTTTTCTCAATCGTCTCTTGCAGTTTCGCAGTATTTAATTTGATTTTCAGGTATTGCTTTCCAGATCTCTGTCCTCTTTTATTATTTTTTTCTTTTATTAGGTTTTTAGTTTTTTCACATAGTTTTTCTTCTGTCGTGCATACAACACTGTTCTCGTGCAACTTTTGATTTTATTATCTATAGTTTTAATATCCGACGGAAAAGGTTGGTTTAAGACTAGGTTTATGGCTTCTTCATACTCTTCTTTATTTTCGGGTGGACACTATTTCAGTATCTTCATTTTCTTTATCAGTTTCGTTGTTTCAGTTTAACTTTATTGTGGCTCTCACCGCTCTATGATCACACCCAATGCCAAATAGATTAATTACTGTTACATCTGTTACATATGCTTTGTTTGTTGTTATGAAGAAGTCTTTTTCATTCTTCGTGTTCCTATGTCCATGTCCATCGTCTATGAGGTTTCTTTTCATTAAATTCAACTGATTAAAATGTAGTAACGTTTGTCCTCTCTCATTTCGACTGGTTAACCAATGTTTTCCTATTGCTGCCTCTGCATAATCGATTTGATTTCCTACTTTTGCATTGAAGACATTTTGTTTGTATTATTGCTGTCGCTAAATCTTCGCAAAAATGCTCAACTTCTTCTTCATGTGCTGTTGTTGAAGCATAGATGTGTATAATTTTCATTTTATACCTATTGTTTAGTCTCAGTCTTTCTTGATATTCAATATATCTTGGTCGTATTTCTTATGGATAAGCAGACCAACAACACCATTAGAATTGTTTAAATTTCCGCTTGAGTATAACATGTGACCTGATTTTAACGTTAGTAGTTGCTCCACACGTCTTTTTTTATTTCTTCTTCTAGAAAATAGAAGCTAGAGTAAATTCAGAGCGAAAGGCTATAAACTGGGTAATAAAGTGTAATATAAATGCAATGAAATTTAACATGAAAGTATCGTTAAAAAAAAACAAAATCATTAGTAATCATTAGTAATCTCTAAAGAACCAAATAGATGTAAGCTGGAACTTGATAACCAAATTATGGAGCAGGTAATGAGCATCAAATATTTAGGAATTAGACTCTCATATGATAATAACATAGAGGATGAAATAAGAGAACAAACTGCAAAAGCCAATAGAATAGCAGGATGCCTAAACGACAAGATATGGAAGAATAAATACTAATATAGAAGAAGAAGTTCTTCTTCTAATGGATTATTATTATTTAAAAAAAAATCATCATTAAGTTTTACGATTTATGAACGGATTTATATATACTCGTCCGGCCAACATCGCCTATGTGGAAACGGACGTGTCAATACGCGTCATCTCAATCGCTCGCGACGGCCATTACGGATTTTAATTAGCGGCGGCACGCAAGTCGTCGCATTAACGTGTATGAAATAAACGCATTAACTTTGTGTGTTTACGGCTTTATCGGGACGCACTTTTTATATAC